GACCTGCCCTCTGCTCCCCTGTTCTGCTCCCGGCTCTGCCTCTAGTGAAGCCTCTCGCCGCCCCTGAGCCTCTGGCCTGTACCCCAGTTCTGTATGCACAAATAAATAAATCTTTAAAACAAACAAAAAAATATACTCGGAGAAATGACTGTTTTCATATACTACTGGTAGAAAAGTAAATCAAAAACTTCTAGAAGGCATTTTATCAGTATCTGCCCAAGCTTATAGTGCATGTGTTTTCTGACCCAGCAATTTGCTTCTAGAAATTTATCTTACAGATGTATTAGCACATCTAATATGTGCTAATTTATCTTATAGATGTATTAGCACATCTGATGACTGCCAAAGGCTCTTCATTGTGGCGTTGTAGTCATAGCAGTTAGAAAGGGTCCAAATGTTCAGGGGGCTCCTCATTATTAATGTTTTAAAGCGTTGACATGGGGCCCTCCCTGGTGGCACAAGGGGTTAAAGCGCAACTCTATGAAGATATCAGCAGCCACTGCAGCACAAGTTCGATCCCCAGCCCTGGAGGTGACCCACATGGCCCGGCAGACCTCTCCTGACCCACCCGCCGCTCCCCTCAGCAGTGTACTTCATCAGTTGGCCTGCTCTGCTCCCCACTCTGTCTCTGGTGAATTCTCCTACCCCCTGCTCCTTTGGCCTATACCTCAGTTCTTATATGCATAAATAAATAAATCTAATACGCCAAATTGATGAGTCACCTTTTTGTGTGCTAAAGTGAGATGATCACAGAGATACACTACTCCATAAAAAACCTAGGTGAAGCAAAGGGTGGGTGCCACTATTTAAGGGATATTAAACATCTCTGGGGAGATGTGACTTCCCCTGGGAGTGGCCTGGTGAGGGCCTGGGTAGGAGAGAGCCAATTTTCACCTTACAGACACTCATTTAAAAATAGTACTTGACTAGCTGGTTGACCATTTGGAAAAACATTAAGGAGAGCTTCACCTCAAACTATTGACACAAAAAGCTTCAATGGATTAAAATTTAAATGTAAACATGAAATTATAAAAGTTCTATAGAAACTTATGATCTTATTGTCATTATGGGTTTTTAAAAGATTTCTTTATTTATGCATACAGAGCTGGGGTACAGGCCAGTTGAGAGGATTCTCCAGAGACGAGTGGAGGGTACAGGCATTTATTTATGCGTACAGAGTTGGGGTACAGAGACGAGTGGGGAGCAGAACAGACTGACGAAGTACACTGCTGAGGGGAGCAGCAGGCGGGCCAGAAGAGTTCCGCCGTGCCATGTGGGTCACCTTCGGGGCAGAGGATCAAACTTCAGCTGAAGCTGCTGCGGCCAGCTTCGTAGTGCTGCTCTTTAATCTGTTGTGCTACCAGGGAGGGCCCTATCTTACTGTCACTTTGAAGTTTGCTCACTCTAAATGTCAGTCCACTGCTGGAGCTGTCGCCCGGCCCTTCGGTCACCAGGTCGCTCCCAGGCCCCCACTTGCACACTGATGACCCTGGAATATCAGATCCAGCTGCCACACTCTCAGTGGCGTCCCCTGCTCCAGGTCTCCTCCACCTGACATCCCCACGCACCTGGAACTCTCCTCCTGCCAAGCTGAACTCAGCCTCTCCTGGCTGCGCCCAGGAATGGGATCTATCCCATTGAAAAAGTGGCAGTTACCTCCAAGAGTCTTTCCCAAGAAGTCACATCTCACTTCTCCCTTCACCTTCAACGATGGTCTCAATGTTTGAGTCTCCCTGCCCCCACGACAATGACGGTTTTGGGCTCCAACATGAGGGTGGAGCTTTTTGTGTGGGTTTTGTGCCTTTAGAAGAGATGATGTGCCCAGAGAGATGGTGCTGGCCTTTTTATTGCAAAGGGCACAGCAAAAAGACCACGCTCTATAAACCAGGAAATGGTCCCTCACCAGATATGGAATCTGCTGGTGACTTAATCCTGAAATTCCCAGGCTCCAGAACCATGAGAAAGAAATGTTCTTGGTTTAGGCCTATGAAACTTTGTTAAACCAGCCTGAGGGGACTAAGACACCCTCCGCACTTCCACAGCTTGCAGAGATTACAAACTTGGTTCTGGACTCACAGGGGCTTAATCTAGCTCTGCCTCTTTGTTACTACTGTAAGACAAAGCCAGGTAAGCAACAGTGTGACTTGCAGGGGCTTGAGGCAGAGTGAGTTCCCATGTTCTGTCATGTACAGTGCTCAGAACATGCCTAGAAATTGCTTCAGATAGCTTGCTGTTTATTTGACCCACAGTTTTACCCCAGGAAGGCCAGATCCCTCTCCAGTTTGAACCCTTTCTTTTCCCATCACTTCTCCAGAGCCCTCCTGGCCAGCTCTCAGCTCTCAGCTCACTGGTGTTCTGGCTCCAGGCGCTCCGCAGGTAGCACTTACTGAGGTTTACCCCTAGGGAAGTGCATGCAAGCACTGTGCCCTCTCCTGAGCTGCATGCAAGCACTGTGCCCTCTCCTGCCCCTGCTGACCTGCTTGCCTCCAGTGCTCCTCTCTCCTGGAGTAACTCAGCTGGGGGGGGGGGCAGGGCTCAGGTGTGACCACTTATTAACAGAAGATGGAGGCAGATGGCTGTGCTCTCTCCCAAAGGGCCTGACCTGGGGATAGAAAAATACTTTGTTTGGTCAATATTTGAAGTATTTCAGAAATTGTCCCGGAGGTGGCCTAGCAGTGTAAATAGTAGTCTGGGTTGAGCCATTCATTAACGTGTCACTTAGGAGCAGTTGGATGGTGGGGTAGAGCACTGGCTGGAGTCCAGGTAACCCTGCGGACTGGTTCTGGCCTCTCTAGTGACTTGCTGTGTGCCCAGGTTGGAGAGGTCCCTTCTCTGTGTGTCTCTGTTTTATTTGGAATCCTAGAGGTAGAATGGATTCAGGTAAAGGCAGTAAAGAAGACCAACAGGCAGGACTTTTGCCCTCTGGATGCTCCCGTGCCTGGCAACAGTACCTGAACAGCCTCTGGCAGAGATGAAGCCCGTAGAGCTGAGAGACAGGCCTGGGTCTCTCCCACCTGCCCCAAGTCTGGCTTCAGCATCTCTGACCAGCTGCCAGAGTGTAGGTGCCAAGCACCCACTAACATGTTTACGTGCGGCCATAGGCTCTATACATCGTACATCCCCTCAACAAGCTCTGAGGCAGGTACTTCCATTATCCTCCTATTACAGACGAGGAAACTGAGGCCCACAGAAGCTTACTGACTTATTAGGGGTGACAGAACGGGGGTTTAAACACTGACTCCAGAACCTGAACTCCTCCATAACCTCAGTAATGCAAATGCTGCTTGCTTGAGAACCAAATGTGAGACCCATTCTTGAGGGACTGAGACTTAGTAAGATAATGTGAACTGACGAAACCCCACAGCTTGTAGGTAGCAGAGCCAGGATTCAGACTCAGGTCCCTCTGACTGCAACCCCAGGTTCTTCCCTGACCCCATAGGGGCTTACCCAGCACCTTAGCCCTGGTCTTATGAATAAATGCCTCCAGCCAGTGAACAGGCGGCTAATAAGCTGGGTGGCCCATGACCAGTTAACTTTGTGCTTCATATGGGAACTGCACCAAGTGTTAGAAATCATTCCCAGATCAGACTGCCCAGGTCAGCTTTCTATGCACCAAGGGCCGGTCTCAGTCCATTCTGTGTGCCCGAAGGCCCATACCTGGAGCAGGGTGACCATGAAAGAGCATGAAGTCCTGACCCCATCCCCTCCCCCAACACACTCCATACATGTTCACAGAGGACTCTCCCCTATGTGCCTCTTTACTCTCCCCAACCTAGGCACCCCTGCAGGTCTCTGGCCTCTGGAGCAGAGGGTGCTCAGAGGGAGGCTCTGGGGGGCGGGGCCAAGGCACAAGCCTGGCCCCATCAACCCAGAACTAGTCCCAATTTTGTTTAGGCTTGATAACACACCTGCAAGGCACAAGGCGCACACTCAGAGCCCGACAGTTATGCCCCATCCTACACAAAGGCTGTCACTGCCCGGGTCTGAACACACACAGCCCAGAGCAGCCGCAACCTCACGCGCCCGCCCCTAGCGCCCCGCCCCTGTAGCTCAGTCCGCCCCTTCCTGGCCCCGCCCTACAGCGCCGACCCGCCCCTTCCTGGCCCCGCCCCGTCCCTACAGCCCGGTCCGCCCTTCGTGGCCCCGCCCCTACAGCCCGGCCCTCCCCTTTATGGCCCCGCCCCTAACGCACCGGCCCGCCCCTTCCTGGCTCCGCCCCCCGCGTCTCGTCCGGCTTCCGGGAGGCGGGGTCCTGGGCACTTTTTAGTGTCCAGCATCTGCTGGTTGCATGAGAGCGGTACGAGTCATGAAGGTGTTCGTCACTCGTAGGATACCCCCGGAGGGCAGGGCCGCCCTCGCCAAGGCCGCAGAGTAAGAGTCCGGTGCCCCCGCGCCGCTTAGGGGTGGGCTCGGCGAAGGAACTGCGGGCCCGGGCTCCTCCCTGGATCTCCGGCTGCCCGCACACAAGCTGGACCAGCGGCTCCAGGCCGGCCTTTTCTGTGGAGGCGAGGAGGGCTGCACCCGAGCGGGCAAGGGATGGCCTCCGGCTACTCCGAGTTTTCTGTGATGAGTAGGACCGAGTGTTCCTAGGCACCAGAGAGAAACGGATCCTGGGCTTTGACCTTGACTGTACTTTCCAGCTTGTACCCGACCGGGACGGTCTAGGAGTTTGAGGGAAGCGTAGAGAAAGTTCGCGGAGACCTAATTACTTCACCATTTGTGGCGGGGGTGGGGACGTTGGAACGGCAGGAACCCTACTAGTCTTTGGCCTGGAAGAGGGGAGTCTGCTGGTGATACAAGGACCCGGCTGTTAATGTTTACCCTGCGAGGTCACTTGCAAGGGTCAGGGACCTTGGCAGCCACCTTTGGACAGTTAACAGGAAACTTGGTGATCCGTATTAAGTTGAATCCTGCCCGCCAGCCTTGTTTCATATACATAAAACCCTTTTAATCCTTGCAGCACTGGAAGTTTTTACTGCAGTTCCCATTTTACAGCCGAGAAAAGCCAAAGTCACATCCCTTTCTGCAGAACTGGGATTTGAACTCAGCTCTGTGGGACTGCGGGCTGAGCACTGCTATATGCAGACTTGCTCTGCCTCTTAGGCACCGAGAAGAAAGTGGAATCCAGCCCCCGAAACCAGCTCCTGGAGAAAATGACATGTTTATTCGTTCAATGCAACAGAACCTTCACTGGGTACCTGCTGTGCAATGGGATTGCAGGGGAGGCAGCAAAGGCAGAAACAATGGTAGTCACAATGGCAGTAGTTACACTGCTATCGTGTGTGTGTGTGTGTGTGTGTGTGTGTCACACTCTGGAAAGGCGGGTGCAGAGTGACCAGGTGCTGCTGCAGAGTGTTCTGGGAGGTGCCAGCAGCACTCCTTGTCCTGCACACATGGGTTCTTTTTTTCTTTTCTTCTTTTTTTAAGAGGTATTCATTATGCTTACAGAACTGGGGTACAAGTCATGAGGTGTGGGGGATGAAGATTCACCAGACAGTGGGGAGCAGAACAGGCAGATAGACTGAAATACACTGCTGAGGAGAGCAACAGGTGGGTCAGGAGAGGTCATGTGGGTCAGCTCCCTTGCCGGGGATTGAACCTGTGCAGTGGCTTTGGATAGCTTCACAGTGCCGTTGAGCCTCCAGGGAGGGCCCACACCCATGTGTTATACATGGCCATTTTTTTTTTAAAGATTTATTTTTTTATTCATACAGAATTGGGGTACAGGCCAGAGATGTGGAGGGTGATAGGATTCACCAGAGACAGAGTGGGGAGCAGAACAGGCAGATACATGGCCATTTTTGATACATGTTGGCTTAATGTATAAAATGGCAAGGGCTGGGAGGCTGGCATTGTGCCCCCGCACAGGCTGCCATAGAACTGTGCCTTAAAACTTCTCCATCATCCCTTGATCTTGATGAGAGTTTTCCATTTCCTGGACTCACTGACCAGGACCTGCAATTGGACATGGAATCCAAGCTCTGTCAGATGCAGGGCTCCCCCAAACCCTCACTGGTCTTCCTTCCCATCAGTTGTGGACCCTAGCCAGGGACCTCTGCCCCATAAGGGTGAGAAAGCTCTTCCTTGTGTTGAGAGCCTTCCCCTGACTTTCTCCTTTTTGCTTTGGGTGGCTCCAAAGCCCATGTCAGTATTCTCTACTCTATGGCAGCCATTTACCCTTCAGCTACCCCTGCAGGACCATTATAAGGCCGCCCTCCGCAGACCCTGACTCAGAGCAAGCAGAGGCAACTCATGCACTCTGAGAGTTGGCTGGGGGACTTTGGGCCCCCGGGGACATCTGTAGGGCTTCTCTGTTTCTCAGCAGTCTTTCCTGTCTTCAGCTGTGAAGTGGAGCAATGGGATTCGGATGAGCCCATCCCCAAGAAGGAGCTGGAACGAGGCGTGGCCGGGGCCCATGGCTTGCTTTGCCTGCTCTCTGACCGTGTGGACAAGAATCTCCTGGACGCGGCAGGTCTGTGTAATGGACAGGACCCGGGGAGGCTCAATAGGGCACATCAGCCTGCTGCTGGCTGCTGGAGCAGGTCTGCAGGACATCCCAAGGGCAGTCATTATACTACCAGGCCAGAGGGAGTGGTTGTGGCCTCCCCTCCTGACACATGAATTGCTCTTTCTTCTGGCTGTGAATTTGTGGGGAGGCCCTAGAAGGGCAAAGACGGAGGTGTGGGGGCAGCCAGGGCTGGGGAGAGCACCCGGAGCCTTGGATCTTCAGCCAGCCCTGTAGCAGTCTGACTTTATGGCCTGTAGCAAGGACCTGTACCCCCTTGTGGGGAGAGGGAGGCTCAGTGCCAAGTACCAGCAGGCCCCAGGATGGGTCACCACGGTCTCAGCAGAGGGCAAGGTAAACATCATCCGGTGCCCCAGTGTTGGCCCAGAACTTAGAGGTGAGGGTATGAGGCCATGCCCAGCTGCCTTTGAGAGCTCTCAGAGTTCCTACTGGGAGGTCCCTGGGTGGCTGAAGGACAGGCAGGCTGGTAAGAGCAGGGCCTTGGTGTCACAAGTCCCAGCCCTGCCACTTGCAGTGGGTGACTGAGGCAAGCCACGTAACATCTCTGACCTGCAGGGCCGGTGCCTCTCAAATAGCGTCATGTGGATTTTCACTGAGATACAGAGGTGTACGTCAGTCTTTTGTTCTGAAATAGTAGTAAGCAGACACCCCACAGTGGTCCCCAGCATCCGGCTTTGGAGCCCACGGGGAGATACAGACAGTGCCTCTTCCACAGGAGCCAATCTCAAAGTCATCAGCACACTGTCCGTGGGTGTCGACCACTTGGCCTTGGATGAAATCAAGAAACGGTAAGTGCAGCTTGGACTCTGGGAGGGGGCGGGAGCGAGGGGCCCAGAGAAAGAGGGTGTTTTTATTTCATATCCTTCCACCACTCAGTGGGAATGAGGTGGCTGATGGACACAGCCAGTTAAAGTAAGCTGGCAGGTCAGAAACAGTGGGACCACCTGTGCAGGTAGCACGTTTTCACGTGTTTCTTGGGTTTGCCCTGAACACTGTTCCCCTGAGTAGAACAGGGGTCTTCTTATTTCCCTCTAGAGGAGGAAATTCAGAAAGGCTAGGTAGCTTCTACCCCAGACTTTGGGCCCTGACCTTCCTCCTTCATCATTGTCAAGTGGGAGGTAGTCAGCATGCGAGTGAGGGCTGACCACCTGTGAGTGCTCATTTACAGCTCTGAGCTTCCCAGGCAGCACAGAGGGAGCAAGGCAGCAGCATGGAAATGTCCCTGCAGTAGAAACTGGTGAAGGTGCTTGAGGCCAGTGTGACCACCAGTGTTTGGTTCATAGCGGGATCCGTGTGGGCTACACCCCAGATGTCCTGACAGACGCCACAGCGGAACTTGCCGTCTCCCTGCTGCTCACCACCTGTCGCCGGTTGCCAGAGGCCATCGAGGAGGTGAAGAAGTGAGTTTTGCCGGGTGGGAAGGTCTGCTCTGCCTAACAGAGCCAGTTCCTGGAACACCTGGCATGGTCCTGGCCTAGATGTGACCCCTTAGATCCAGAGGTTTGCCATTTAAGTAGAGGGGACAGACTCAGAGTACCAGGCAGAGCTGAAATAAACAGTCTGAATGGAAGTTGTGAGAGAATAGCGTCAGGTGGAAGGAGTGTGGATCAGGGAAGGCTTCTTGGAGGAAGTAACTTCTCAGCACTTATGGGGACTTCTACCATCCCACCTTGCAGAAAGCTCTGGAAACTGAAGATTCATAAGTCTTTCGTTGGCCAAACCTGACCAGAAATAATAGGAGGCTATATTTTGTGTTTTATTTCTCCTACTCAGTATGTGATTATTCAAGTTTTGCTGCAGAAGCACTTGTATTTGATACAGAGTACTCCCCAGCCCCTCGCGTGGCTGTGGGTGTTTTGTACCATACAGCATAAGCACCACATCACCTCTCTAAAGCTGAAAAATTCAATTCTGGCCTGAGGGTTTCAATCAGGGATCTGGGCCTGTATATCCAGAGCTGGGGAGGCATTCCAGGAGCAGGGGTACTGGATGGAGCAAAGTCCTGAGGCATGCAAATGCAGCCTGTGAGAGCCCAGAGCTGGAGGGTCGGGAGGGAGTGTGCCAGAGGTATTGAGGGGTGACTAGACCCAGTATTCTGCTCCCACTCTGACCTAGGGAGCCAGCACCTTCACTGTCGGTGACTCTGCCTTTCATCCAGGGGGTTGGGGGGTGATATGGTTTCTTGTTGCTTCCTTGGTGCCCTGAGAACACTGGTTTTGGAATCCTAAACCTGAGTTTACTCTCAGTTCTCTTTCCTTTCTGGTCAGTTTCACCATCTGCAGGATGGGACTGGAAATCCTCAGGTCTCTTCTGTCAGGTCTGTGTCCCCAGTGATGTGTAAGGATGAGTTATTCCTGCTGCTTACCTGCAGCACTGAGTGGCCGTGGGTGTTCTTCATGTCACTCTCAGTTCTCTGACTTGCAGGCCAAGGTCGACCCCTTGGACCATGGCCCTGGCCTGGCGGTGCCTGGCCTGTGTGTTCCAGGGGGCCCTTGTCCTTGTACAAGGCCAGGGCTCACCCACCTCATTTCCTCCTGCAGTGGTGGCTGGACTTCATGGAAGCCCCTGTGGATGTGTGGCTACGGCCTCTCACAGAGCACCGTCGGCATCATCGGACTGGGGCGTATAGGTACGGCTCCACTTACCTGCTTGCATGCCCCGGCTTCTGGGTTTGGACACCACTTCTGCAACACTCCACTTCTCCACCTCTGCAAAGGGCCCTAGTTGTCAGTGCCTCTGTTTGTATTGCAAAGATGTGGCCTCATAAAATCTCAGGCCAGGCCCTCCCTGGTGGCGCAGTGGGTTAAAGCACAACACTGAGAAACTAAAGCCACTTCTGCATGAGTTCGATCCCCTCCTGCCCTGGAGGAGATCCACATGGCGTGGCAGACCTCTCCTGACCTGCCCGCTGCTCCCATCAGCAGTGTTCTTCGTCGATCTGCCTGTTCTGCTCCCCACTCTGTCTCTGGTGGAGCCTCTCGCCACCCCTGAGCCTCTGGCCTGTACCCCAGCTCTGTATGAACAAATAAATAAACCTTAAAAAAAATTTTTTTCAGGCCAAAGCAACAAACCAGCCGTGAGTTACTTAAGAACTCACCTGACGTTAGAAACAAGTTGGAAGAGCGGGGTTCTATATGATTATGGCTCCGGTCAGGCTAGAGCTATGAAGGCTGGGCTGGGGCCTGCTCCCCAGGCCTGGGTTCTGAAAGGCACTTCATTTGTAAAGTCCTAAGTCAGGAACCAGAGGGTCCAGTGTGGAGTTTACCTGGGATTCCACAGGTGAGCACAGGGCTTTTCTTTTGGTGGCCTGTTTAGAGAATTCTTGTGGAAAGGCTTGACAGGTTTCCTGACTTCCTGTCTAGGGCAGCGGTGAGAGGGAAAGAGCCAGCAACCTGCCATCACAGTAGAGTGCTTGAAGGACGCTACCAAGCTCAGCACATGTTCTGAGTCTGAAAATCTAATTGTCCAATTCTGTCTCAGCCTAAGCATAAATAAAGTGGTCTTTGTGGAGAATTGGTTTTTTGGCAATGCCATCACAAGGCCGAATGGGTACTGAAGCTGCATTAAGAGAAGCAGAGGGGGCTCCCTGGTGGCCTAGGATTACGTCTCAGTGCTGTCACTACCACAGCCTGAGTTCAATCCCCAGCCCCAGAGGTGACCCACATGGCACAGCAGACCTCTCTGACCTGCTCACTGCTCCCCTCAGCAGTGTATTTCAGCCGATCTGCCTGTTCTGCTCCCCACTTTGTCTCTGGTGTATCCTCTCACCCCCTGCACCTCTGGCCTGAACCCAGTTCTTACAAACAAATAATAATAAACAGCAAGAGAAGCAGAGGGTGACGAAGGAAGGAGGGGACTGTTGGTCAGACCTCTGCAAAGTTGCCCGGTCCGCTTCTTGGAAAGGCTGGCAATAGCCCCAGAGGGCTGGACCATGGGCAGACAGCATCTGCCTCCAGAGGTGAAAGGTTTCTTGTGAACCATGGGGCTGCTGTGTTTGCAATGTCTGGCTGAGGGCAAGTTACCCTAGGAAGGATTAGGAAATGTGGCACTGTGCTGATGAAAGACCTGCCACTAGGTTCTCCCTGGCCCTGGAGCTCCTGGGTGGTGGTGGTGGGCGGGGGGCAAGCTGTGACCTTGACTCCTTGCTACAGGCCAGGCCATTGCTCGGCGCCTGAAACCATTTGGCGTCCAGAGATTTCTGTACGCAGGACGCCAGCCCAGACCTCAGGAAGCAGCAGAATTCCAGGCAGAGTTTGGTAAGTAAAACCTTGATTTCCACGGGAGCCCGTCTGGCAAGGGCCTCTCCGTCTTTTGAGGCAGCAGCACTTACACACAGAGCGTGAACACAGCTCTAGGGTTCCTGGGCCTGCAGCCTCCCTTAGGTGTGATGTCAGCTGGACAGCCTGAGAGTGCTCACCCAGGCGCCACAGAGTCTGTCAGTGCCAGGAGAGCACCTGTGTCCTGTCTTTCAGAGCCCCTCGTGGGTGTGTGGACAGAGCAGCAGGGGTGTTGACAGATGTGGGGAAGAGCTGGAAACTTCTTCTGATGTCCTTAGCTAACTCATGGGCCCTGCCCCCAGCCTGTGTGTGCCCTCTGTCCAGGTGCCCGTTCAGCTCACTGGTAGGGGCGATAGCTTGGTGAGAGCCGGCTGGATTTCAGCCATTCCTTGCCTCCTTGGCATATCTGGCCTGGAGGGTAGCAAGAACCAGAGTGGCCAGACCCCTTTGTAACCCTGAACAAGTTTCTGCTCTTCTCCTATTAACGACCTCATCTGTTAGGCCAGAGGGTGGGTGAATGATGTCATGTACTGGGAAGCTTATGAGCAGCTATTGATGTTGTAGTTATCAGAGTTCTCCAGGCCTTCCGGAAGCATCTTGGGAGTTTCCATTGTGGGGAGGACAGGTCTGGGCCCCACCCTCTGCCTCTAATGGCGCCCTGTCTTCCCCCAGTGCCCGCCTCTCAGCTGGCTGCTGAGTCTGATTTCATTGTTGTGGCCTGCTCCTTAACGCCTGCAACCAAGGGCCTCTGCAACAAGGACTTCTTCCAGCGGATGAAGAAAACAGCTGTGATTGTCAATATTAGCAGGTAGCCTGGGGCCTCCCAAATCCCAGGCTCACTTGGCAGTCCTGGGGGTGCGGGGGGGCTGGCTTTCCTCCTCCCTGGATTGTCAAGAAGTCTGAGGCTGAGCTCACTACTCTACATAAACTAACCTATCAGCCAAGCCAGAAATACAGTAAAAGCCCTGAGCATGTTTTCCAGGCTTGGGGACAAGCTCTCAGAACATGCTCGGTACCCCAGCCTTGCCTGGACCCAGCACACAGTAGCATTGGTTTGGGGAGGAAGGCGTGATGGCAGTGAGTTAGCAGGGACCTTGGCAGGCCTGGTTACATTGCATCACTCAACTGTCCTCAGATACCTTCGGAGGCTTCACTGTGCTCCACTTGGGTCTGTGTGTCAGTAAAAGCTGGAACTTTGTGCTCCGGGGGCGTTAAGACTCCATACCCGGTTGTCTTGGTTCTTCAAAACGTCTCTGGGGTACCTTCAGGCTACTGAGCATGGTGTGGGTGCAGATCGTTGTTCCCTGTTTCTCCACTCGCTTCCTAGCAGGCACCCTCTGAACCTGCTTAGAACAGTTTGGAGGCAAAGATGGGCTGAGGGAGGGGGTTAGATGAGGTTACCCTGGGAGCTTGGCTAGCCAGACGCCCCTGTAGTCACTAATGTTTAGCTAAAAGGTGACAAGGGGTGGAGTGAAACTTCAGGAACACAGGGTTCATGCTGACAGCCAGCAGTGCATATTTTCTGCTCACTGAGCCCCACACATAGCAGGTGCAGGGCAGGGCACTGCGCTCTGGTTACTTGTTATTATTTCGTCTCTAGCAAATCTGTTCTTGACTGCAGTGTTTCAGTCACAGGAAGGATGGCTGCTCACTCGGCTGGGTCTGGTTGGGTCTGTTCTGTGACTCTGCTCCCAGTTGGGCAGGTGCTTGATGGCAGGCTGCAGTGGTTCTCAGCCAGGGCCCTGGGGACCACCAGATCAGAAACCCCTGGAAGGGACCCAACAAATGCAGATTTTTGAGCTCTGTTGAGGAGGTAAGCTGGAACCCTCCGTTTCCTCCTGGGAGTAGGTAGCACTCCCTGTCTTACATAGGAAGAACCTGTGCCACGGAGAATTTGACACACTTGCCCAAAGTCCAAGTGGCAGGGCTGGGTTCCTATATGACCTACCACCTCCCTGGTGGTGCAGCAAGTTAAAGTACCACACTGTGAAGCTTTCTGAAGCCACTGCAGCACAAGTTGCATCCTATATGGCGTGGCAGACCTCTCCTGACCTGCCCACTGCTCCCCTCTCTCTCCCACCCCCTTCTCCTATATGACCTCCCGTAGGTATACTTGGAAGACTGGTTTAAAAGTCAGTGCCAAGACCCAGACCGGTGGAGAATTTCATTGTGTGTTGTTCTGCCCTAGAGGTGACCTGGGTGGAGGTTGTGGAGGCACCCAAATTCTACTGTCATCCCCAGGGGAGACGTGGTTAACCAGGACGACCTGTACCAGGCCTTGACCAGTGGTCAGATTGCAGGGGCTGGACTGGATGTGACGACCCCCGAACCACTGCCTACAAACCACCCTCTCCTGACCCTGAAGAATTGTGGTAAGACGTGTTCTTGTCTAGTGTGGGACCCCACCGCCCCTATAGGACAAGGCCTCTAGGCAGGCTGAAGGTGCCAGATGGGAGGCCACCTTGAGGGCACCCAACACAAAGGGACACAGGCAGGTCAGCGGCGCTGGTGCTCTACAGCAGGGAGAGGCCTTGCGCGCTTGTTTCACTGTCAGTGTCCCTCGAGAAGTACCTGTAGGGGGAGTGGATTTGTTTAAAGTGTGTGGATAATTGTGTGTCCTATACCCACCGCTATTGCCATGCCCCTCTGGCCATTGGTAAACCCGTTAGTCTAAATGTGAGCCACTAAAGGTGTAATTACAATTACTTTGTGCCTTTACGACGCATGCCAGTTACTAAGCCTTTCTCTCTTGGCTCCAAACCCATCCTGATAGATTCTGCTTTGTGCTGCAGGGGGTTGGCCCTGTCAGTGAGGAGCCTGGAGGCAGCAGGACTTGCCTTCACATCTGTCAGCGGCACTTGGCAATCTTACTTGGTGGCAGTAGCTCCTCCCTTTAGCAGCTGGTAAATGTGGTTTAGTTTTGGCAGCATTTGGCTAACCACGTGCCTCCTCAGGGACACAGTCCCAGCCGCAGGTTACAGCTCCAGCAGGGCCTCCTTCAGTCTTCTTTTCCTTTGTCCCCCACGTCCCCACCCTCTGCCCCCAGCCCTGGGGCAGATAGATGCTTCAAACAGTCACTACCTGACCTCATCCAGCCTTACCCTGTGGTAGATACCTGGAGGGCTGATGGAGCACAGGGTGCCTGGTCCCCATGGGGTGCTGCTGGGACCTGAGTATGTGCATCTCTGATGTGCTCCCAGCTGCTGCTGCTGCCGCCTGGGGCCACACCGAGACCGTTGCTCTGTGGTTCTTTTAGCCTTATTTGTCTAGTTACCTTTATACCTACTTAACAGTTCTTTTTATTAACTTCACTTAAGGTAGCTGGTGTGGTTTGTCTCCAGACTAATACATAGCTGAGTGCTTAGGTTGCCTGGGCCTGTCCCTGTCCTTTACTTTATGGAGTGGAAACCCAGAGGCCACTGCCTGCCTTCCCTACCATGAATGCTCCCATTCTTAGCCCTTGAGAACTACCTTCCCACCCCCGGGCTAGCATGAAAAGACTGGCTGTGATGTCAGGCCCGCCCACAGCCAGGACGGCTATCCCCATCCCCCCAGAGCCTCTGACTTGAGCTCAGGCTCTGGGTACCGCTTTGAAAAGGTGTTCTTTGGGGCAAGTGATCTCACTTGCTGCAGAGGGGCCAAAGGAAGCTCGCCTGTCCAGCATCTCATGTCATTTGTATGGATCAGAAGCCCTGTGGACCACTTTCAGGGGTGCAGAAAGTGGATAATGCAGAAATTCCTGAGCCATACTGTCACCTCACCAGTAACTGAAGTGCTTGAGTGCTCTGCCAGCGTGGCATTCGCGTATTTGCCGCCCTTGCACCTGTGTTTCATGGTCAGGTCAGGCCTGGCATCCTTTAACTGATACTCTGAGCCTCAGCCCCAGGGGTGGGATGTTTAGTGACTGTAGGTAGGAAGGCAAATGGTGACGGTCGCTGTTCTTACTGACAAACCCTGACCCTGCAAAAGGCCTGCTTTAAAGGCTCTCAAGCCACCCTTACCTCCCTCTGCTCCTTTCCAGTGATCCTGCCGCACATTGGCAGCGCCACCCACGGAACCCGAAACACCATGTCTTTGTTGGCAGCTAACAACTTGCTGGCTGGCCTGAGAGGGGAGCCGATGCCGAGTGAACTCAAGCTGTAACCAGACAGGAAACCCAGAGGGTCAGGAGAAAACAGATGCCATCAGGTGTCTTGGGTTGGACCCACAGGATGAGAGCCAAGGGAGAAAACCTGATCTGTACTGATTGTGTGGAGGGAGGCTGGTGCCGAGGTTTGTGCTTGCTGCATCTGTGATTGGAAACATCTGAGCCAAATGCGTGTGTTTCTATTAAATGGTTCTCTCAGAGACCGTCTCTGCCTGTGACTGGGAGGAGCTGAGGAAAGAGCTTTCTTTTCTGTCGGGAAAGCCAGTGTCTGGCGGGCTGCTGCCCACCCCACCCTCATGCCTCGGTGCTTTCATTACTAGAACCTGCCCGAGCCACTTCACCCCTCCCCATCTCATATTCCTTGTGTCCCTCATGGAAGACAAGACAGCTATACCCAGTGGTGACCATCCAGTGTCTGCTGCCTGGACCAAGTTAAATATGCACCGTCAACAGAGAGCTACCTAAAGTCACAAACCTTTTTTTTTGGTCAAGAAGAATTGCAGGTACGAAGGTTTCTTAATTTTTGTTTTAAAATGTTTTCGCATCTTCACATTTTGTTCCCTTTGTCCACTTCTTCCACCCCCACCTGCACCCCCTGTGGAGTGATGCCCTTTTCTAATCATCTGCTCACTCACTTGCTCTGCCCCAAGGCCTGACCACCAGCACTACCAAGGCCCAGCTCCTGCCAAAGGCAGGTTCCGGCTCTTCCCACAGCCAAGCCAAACTGGCAGATGGAGCTTCCCACCTGGGGGCAGGTAAGCAAGCAGCAGAAAGCAGGTCCTCTAACAATCAGCCTGGGTGGACTTAGAACAAAGCCTTACTTATGTTCAGAGACAAAGGGCAGGAAGGCAGAGGGACTAAACTGAGGGGAGCGACCAGTAATTGCTGCTACTTAACTGACAGCTTTAGAGTACTTTCTAAGTAAAGTTTTTAAAAAAAAGACACAGATAAAAAACAGGGTTAGCAGATTAAGCAGTACTTCCCTTTTTTGTTTTAACTTTAATAACTTAAGCAAAGAAAAAGCACATATTAGGTAGAGGCAGGAATGTGGTAAGTTTTTTATTTCAAAATCCCAACTATTGGCTAGCATAGCACCACTGACATAGGCGCCCTGATAGAACTTTGATATTTAATCACCAGGAATGATTATGCCAGGCTTTCATTAAGGCTAACCAACAAAATCCAGGTACCCGATACCAGTTAGAGTTCAGATAGGAACTATGATCATAAGAACCCTGGAGCTGGTTTCCCAGGGAATCTCTGAATTAAATTTTAAGTGGTACAGCACGTACAAGGACTCTGGCCCACAGCTTTCTTCTCACATGTAGCAACTGATCGACTAAGAGGTAGATGAGATTCCAAATTCCAGCTAGCAGTGGAGAGGAGGGCCCCACCGCTGCATCAGGGAGGCTCCAAAGCCGCGTCCGCGTGAGCCTGAGCTGAGGTGAGGCAGCCAGGCGGCCTCCTCACGATGGCCAAGGAGGCAGGCTGCCACCACGTTCCCGCTGTCACTGGTTCCTCTCCCTAGGCCAAGCTGGGCCTCTCGTTCTCCACGCCGACCCACCTGCCTCCCAAGGTTAATCTGACAAGACAATGGTCTCCACGTCATGTAGAGGGTGGGTGCCGAGCCGCCTCACGTCAAGTCAGAACATGACTGCCAACAATTAGCCACACACACAATTGAATTTCCCAGGTGATCCCATCTCTTCCAACGTCTCTTCCCCACGTCTGCTGCAAAGGAGAGGAATCAGAGGTTTCCCTTAGGCTTTCCTCCCTGGGAATCAGTTCATAGGAGATGCTATGAACATTATGAGTTTATCCACAGATGTTTAACTGCACACACTAGACTGAGAGGAGAAAACACACGCTAGTTTTTGATTTAGCTATACCTACTGAGCTTTCTAACAAGAACCAAAGGGTTTCTCTCAATTATGCACTGTGGTCCAGTGTCTTCTACAAACACTAGGATAGGAAATGAACTCATGTTCATGCATGAACTAAAACTGCAGACACATTAACCTGTGCTATTCCCTGGAAAGACATGAGCCAGGTGTAGCCAAACACAAGTGCCACCCTAGCCCTGATGGCACAAGATCAGAAAACAGCCAGGTGGGGCGGGGGAAGCAGGGCAGGGGGTGCCCAGAGAGGAGCTGGCAGTGAGCCAGGTATCTCCAGGAACAGTCTCAGATGCTACTTGGTGACATCTGTGCCCTGGGCTGCCCGACCACCTTATATAAGTGTGGGCCCTGCTAAGGCTGGGTCTCCAACAGGTGTAAACAGACATTACTGGGTTGGGGAAAGCAAAAATTCAGAGTCTATACTTGTAAACCACAGTATGTAGCAATAAAACCCAAGGTAGAGGGGGTCTGACATTACCTTTGGTGAGTTTGTAACTGAAAATAATCTTAGGCCTGGGGAAGGTGTATTTGGGGCATGAAAGTGTGAAGAGGCAAAGCAGAGAATGGGGCAGGTTGTCACCGGGTGAGTGTCAGGCCAGGCTGCATGGGCGAAGGGTAAACGCACCAAGGAAGATCCCAGGGCCCGCGCCCCACAAAACGTGACTCTGTATCATCAAAAACAAGACAAACACTAGCTCTTTCTGACTTCCAAACATGGGACTGTAACATATGTAATACAAGTTGGTTAAAATATTGCTAAAACAGCACATACAGAAACAATACCTTACTTGTCACTCCCTACAAGTACACACTCCATTTACAGCTTTGTTTTTAAAACCCGGAAGAATTGTTAAAACATCTATCCAATAGTGATGTCTTCAAAAGTATATACACCTAGTAGTCCAGAGAATGTTCACTCTGGACCCAGTGTCAGCACCATCAGAGTGCAGTGTTTGTGACTGCAAATCAGACAAATAAAAAATACAGTACTTTCTGAGGCCTAGGACTAGCTCATGATACACTTTAAAGCATCTGTGGCAGACAGGCATGTCTTCAAGGGTCCTCCTTTAGACACAAAGTGCCACTGTTACACGTAAGTGCATTTTGCATCGCTATACAGGTATATAATATTCCCATCCGGGAGTATAGGAAATTCCATTAAATGCTTGAGTTTTACAAAAATTGCTAAAAAAAATTTTTTTTGCACTTCAGTTTTTAATTTTTTAATGTGCCACTTTTAACAACATCAGTTACAAACTACTTTCTGACTCACTCCTAATGAAGAACTTGGTTTCCGCGATCTCACCCCTCTGTGAGTGCGCATTTCAACAGAAATGCAATGGTACAAGCACTACAAGTTCCTAGTTCTCTACTTATGACTCGTCAAAACTTGCAAGAGCAAGGGCAGCCTAAAGCCTACACCTAGTGGCATCAGCCGCCAACCATGAGACTTGTTTCAGTCCTACACCCGGCATGGGCACTATCTCAAGAAACTGGGGTTAGAGCAAAGTGCTGGGGAGATTGCTGCTCTGCCAGCGCAGGCAGGTAGTCTTTGAGTGTTTATACAGGTGGCTGGACTGGCTGAACCTCTTGCCACACTTCAGGCAGGCATAGGGTTTCTCACCTGTGTGAACACGGATGTGCTTCTTGCAATCAGTCAAGGTCAGAAAAGTCTTGCAGCAGATTTTGCAGGCATACTTGCGAGCTCCCTCTACAACCAGGACGTTGTGCTCTGATAAGGCCTTCTTGCACTTTGACAGGACATCAGCAGACGCCCTGGTTAACTGTGGAGGGCCAGGCTGGGAAGGATGGTTGTTTTCAAATGAGGATGTGGCTCCATTCATCAGCAGCTGGGAACTGGCAGGGTTTTCTGGGATCTGTGAGCTTCTGACAGAAGTTACAACTGGCATCTTGGGCGCGATGCGGCGGTAATATGGAAAGTTGCTGGCTCCTCCTCTCGGGGAGCCCATCATTACCCGAGAGAAGGAGGAGTGGAGCCCCAAACCAGACCTGGAAAAATCCAGCCCAAACTGTTCTCCTCCTTGGTAGCCCGAAGTCTGCACACAAGGCAGGCCCATCACTTCCTGCATAGGTCTAACGAAGTGGGAGTCAGCAGGCTCGCTGAATGGGTTTTCCACGTGAGAGCCAGAGGCTGAGGAGGGCGCTCCCGCAGGTCCAGCCTCTGGACTCAACAAGTAAGGGGCCTCACCCTCCAGTCTGCAGTCACTAGTGGTGTTTGGGATATTATCATCATTGTTTTGATTTGTGCTAAAGTTACTTCCTCTGCTCTTGTTAAGAAAATTTGAAATGCTAAAAGTGGATTTATGTTCTAGGTTATTTGTGACTTCTAAAATATGGATGTCACCTACCCGATCAGTGCTAGACTGGGGATCTGAAAAACTCCGGTCACTGCTTTCAGGGCTGAGGTCTATCTTTTCGGCACTGACCACAACTCCTTCCACTTCCACAGATTCGCTGCCTTCTGCCTGTGAGGTCACATCGCTCACTTCATCCTGAGGTTCAGGAGAGCTCAGGGGCTCAGATTTTACCACCACTCTCATGTGCTCCTTTTCACCAAGGCCAGCCTCAGGATTTTCACACTGAAAACCGCTTTTTTCAGTCACGGCTTCCTGCTCAAAACTAGTCTCAACCTGAGTTGCACGAGAGGCCATGGACAACTGTGCCATGTTGCCGGCACTGTTGTCAGACTGGCTGGGCACCTGGGCATCTTCTTGAGCCCCGAAAGACTGGTCAAATATGATGGCACTGTCTTCCTGGTTGTCAGTCATGCCGTCAGCCTTAGGGTTATCCACAATTTTCAGAGAATCTGGTGAAAAGAACTCTTCTCGAGAATGAACCCCCGATGGTCCATTCTCGGGTGCAACATCAGAAATGGCAGACTCATCCATGGCGGGCCGGAGGCGTTGTCTGGCCCGCTCCTCTGCAGACTGCTTGCGTTTATGAAGGCGTCTCATGGGGAAGGGCGGCCGCTGGTCCAGGTTACTGCGGATTGATGAGCTCATGGGGGCCGGCTGCTCCTCACCACTCTGGCTGGAATTGAGGGCTGAGCTCACGATGCTTAGTCCCAGCTGCTGCAGCATGAAAGAGCGCTGCATGCGGGCACTCTGCTCCTGAGCGCGTTCACTGGGGGGAGACATGGGCAGCGTCCTTGTTGTTAGGTAATGTTTACATGCCTTAACAACAGAGTTCAAATGCAGGTGAGAGGCTGCCAATAAGACATCCATAACATTGCTCTCCCCCAGCATGAGGGTGGAGGTATACATCATGTCAATCAGTGCGGCAAAGGCCTCCGCTGTCACTACCTCGCTATCCAACTGGATCATGTTCATGGTTTGATCTCCCTCTGCTACGGAGAACAGAGCTCGGAAATGTGTGCTGCATGCTGCCAGTACAGAGCGGTGAGCTTTAAAGTGTCGATTCCCCACCACAATGACACAATCACACAGCTGGCCATGAAGTCTCTGGTAATTCAGTTGCTGGAAGATCTGTTCAAAGTGTCCAGGAAAATCCATGATCCTATAAGAAAGAAAGTGTTGAGACTTAGGAAAGCTTCAGGGGAAGTCAGAACACACGGGATGACAAAAAGAGACACATGGACGGTGAACCTTGGTCTCCGAGAGCTTAATAATGGGCACATGAACTAACAACCTGTCAAATAAAGAACAAATGCCAATTTAGCTAACAGACCTGGAAAGCATGCACACATGGAGAGCAACGACTGGCTGTTTACAGGCTCCTCTTCAGCCCACTTTTAACACTTATGTGAAAAAGACCAACATGGGTGAGCTGCATCCATGCCCCAAGTTGGTTAGACTTCTGTATCCTGAGGACAGTAAAAAAGTCCAAGATGTTGCACTCTTTAGTAATCTTTAGTAATTTAGTAAATAACTGAAAAGGGCAAATCCATTATTAGCGGAGAAGAGTTCCTGGTGGTGGGCTGTATTGATATAAATGCACTTATTTTCTACTCCTTCCTAAAATCCAGTTAAAAAGACACTAAAGCTTTCTGGTTTTGTTGTTATTTTAAACAAACCCATGAGGGAAAAAAAAGAATATGAAAGGTAACAATAGTGTTCTGGAAGCTGGCGAGCAGGTAAATAGTGCTGACTTAGCACATCTGAGAAGCTAAATCCTAAACTAGGTGTAGTAAACTACCTGACGTTATATAGAAAAGCTCCTTTCCCATTAAAGGTTAGAGAACTTGGTGCTGAGGTACAGGGAAGAGTGAAGAGGAGCCTGTAAACCAAGAGAACTGGCTGGAAGTCTAGTGAATAAATAGTACAATGTACTGCTGTACCACAGCAAAGGTAAACCTACGGCAACAGAATAGACTAAGGGCTACCTGGGGCTGGAGGTAGGAGGGGGAAGGACAGTAAAAAGGAAAAGCGTTTTTTTGAAGGAGGTGGTAATATCCTAAAATTGGTTATGCTGATAATACAATTTGTAAGTTTTCTAAAAATGTTTGATTTGTAAGCTTAAAACAAGGCCATTTTATGGTGTGCGCATTGTACTTCAAAAACTCATGTTATACTACAACATTTTAAAATTAAGGAAAGAAAAATCGAGATGGACAAACTCTAAAACCTGTTTTTCATTTTGAACTGTAGGGTGTCCATAAAACTAAACTGCTTGGAATATCACATCTCTCTCTGATATTACAAAATTAATGTTATTTTTTTCCTTAAATGTGATAATGGCATTCAGATTTTTTTTATGAGTACTGTTTAAAGGCAAAATAGTCCAATGTTTGCAGATGTAAATGAAATTTTTCTGAAGTGTTGAAATTTAAAAAGAGGGAGAAAAGAAGAGTCCACATGGCTTAGTGGGTATCATTTTCCAGGGCTGAATTGGAATCATTAAATACCTGTACATTTTCACCTGTTCTACAAAAAGAAGAATTTGCCTTATTTTCTTCTAAGAACCAGCTATACTTCCTAGGAACTTGGCTGCCGATTCAGTCTCAGATTAATCCTCCTGAAAGACTTCCATGTAGTTAAGTAAACAGGGTCAATAGCCCCAAAATGTTACTCCTTGGTGCACACTGCCACTTACTCTGCAGAAGTTGAAGGAGCCAAAGTCGAAAACCCCATTTTTTCCTCCCAGGAGAATGAACCTCTGTTCTTCTGGGATGGAGGCAAGATAGAACCTAACAGCTACACCCCAGGATACAAATGTAAGCAGATTTAATATCCACTGTGCCTGGCACTAGAGAGAGAATGTTCAACAAGTCAGATCCAATCTAACGCCAATAAAGTATTGTAAGTACTATGTAGGCCAGGGCGCATGGAAGGTCCCCTGGGAAGAAGTCTGCATTCTTCTGCTGGGCTTAGGGCTGAACTTGAAAGACACTGAATGCAGAACATAGGAGCTGCCACACTGAAAACTGGAACTTTAAGTTAAAGTCACACAGTAGGTAAGACATGCATACCCCCCTCCAATACCTGCTCAGCTACTAGAAGACTAGCAGCCAGATTACTTAGGTTCCCCCTTATTTTTTTAAAATTTTTAAAAAGATGTATTTATTTATGCATATAGAACTAGGGTACAGGCCAGAGGGGTGGTGAAAGGATTCACCAGAGACAGAGTGGGGAGCAGAACAGACCGACTGACTAAGTACACTGCTGAGGGGAGCAGCAGGCGGGTCAGGAGAGGTGAGCCGTGCCATGTGGGTCACCTCTGGGGCAGGGGATCAAACTGGTACTGAAGTGGTTTAGCTTCTTAGTGTTGCATTACCGCTGCACCACCAGGGAGAGCCCAGTCCCCATCTTTCATTGGGGAAACCCACTACTCCTCAAGAACACCCATCCATTCAGTTTCCAATAGTTAGGGCTTTTTAAATATCTACAGTTAAGGAGCATCACAGACTGGAGGGACAGGAAGATCTCTGACCTTAAAGAAAAAGCACCAAACAAGCAACTGAAGGAAACAATGCAGAGGAAAAAGGAAAACAGGAGGTGAAAAATACAACATCCTCACAGAGATGACACCATACCATGAAAGAAAAACACACACACACACACACACATAGTACAGAGAGAGTTCTATACTAATGTGGGTGTGGGGATAAACTAAAAAAGGAAGACAAAGAATGTAGAAGTTGGAGATCAAGCACTGCAGACAGGCACAATGCCGAAGAGGAGATGAGGCCAAGGGGACAGCACGGCAGCTGGGCTGGGGAGGAACCAGTCCAGACTGGAGGAGAAAACGGGAAAACTCCAAGGAGGTCCTCAAGGGAAACGACCTGTGTATTTTCCACCTTTGATTAAGTTTCCAACAACAAAATATATCACTAAAACACACACTCCCTCCCCCCTCCATCATCTTTATCAAGGTTCTCTGCCAGAAACTAGTGCCCTGAGGGGCAGGCAGTAGCATACACCTTTCTGATCCCCACCCAACTCACCCAGGGAACAAAATCTAGTTGTTGCTCACAAATCTGTAGTCCCTGACTTATAGGGTAAACTCAGGCAAAGTGCTATGTGCCAAGGAGGCGATTATTTTATAACAGGAACAGGGAAGAAAGGCTCATTCTCTTTCAAGAAGCTAAAGAAATTAACCAGGGAGTGAAAATCTTTTGTGTGTTAGTCATTATGCTATGTACTTTTTATTTACATTCTTTCTAAACTTCAAAATAATCCTGCTAGGTTGAACTTACTACCCTAACTTACCCAAAGAGGGGGAACCTAAGAGATGAACTTCCCAAATAAATATTTCGATCAAGCAAACCAATATTGAAAGAAAAGAAGCAGCAGAAATATGATTTACTTGAGAAATCATTTTTTTAAATGTCAGTTATCTTGAGTATAAGAAACTACCACTCCTTCCCATAAAGAGCATTAGCATTCACTGAAATGTCAAATTCTATTTTGTTCAGTCCCCACAGTATATAGAAAAGGGACAAGCAGTAAGGAAATGACAGTCCTAGAGACCCACTGCCTAGCCTATGTGCCCTCACATACCCCAATTCAAGTACTCCAGATTCCTCACAACACTTGAGGGATGCCTGGAACTTCCTGCTATGTGATGTTGCAGGCAACCTTCAAGGTAGAACAAGAATTCAGCTAATTCATTTCCTCTCAAGGAACTCTGGAAGTTTTGATACCAACATGGTAATAAACAAACCAATATGATCAAAACCTGGAGAAATGTCTGTCCTCTAAGTTAGTTAACATTATCTGTTTAAGATATTCTAAATTTTCCTTACTGGTAATATTTTTCACCACAATATTATGTAATCAGTCAATTTATGATCCTTCAGATTAGCAACAGAAATCGAGTACACTAAGATCAGAGCTAATCTCAGTAGTAATATCAAGACTGTCAAAAAGCATTTCAGTGTAACTCAGAGTTCCTAAATGAATACAAGAGTCCACTCAACTGATTTAATTACCATTTTAAAGCAGAAATGTTTCCTATGATGTAATAAAGTTTCTACACGCCAACCAATGCAATTAAGTACTGATCAACTTATGCACTGTGAAAGACAAAAGCATTTGTGATTAAATGACGTTAGGAAATTCACAAAATCTTCATGAGGGTGGGAGTAGTATACTTAGGCACCCTAGAAACCCAGTGACATCACAGAACCATTCTAAATAAACCATTACTGCCATTGCTACCTGCTGCTTTGTGTGGGGTCATGCTTGAGGTTAGGTGCTCAGAGAGGAGCTGCCATCACACCATCTAGACTAGTTCAAACCAACAGATCTTCTGCAGTGATGGATATCAGCAGCATAACTGCATGATGCACACTAGTCACATGTGGATACTGAGTGCCTAAAATGGGGCTAGAGGAACTGAGTTTTTTATTTTATTTAATTGCTGCTGTTCTGGATAGAACAGTTCTAAATGCTCACTACCTACTACTTCATACTGCACAACAAAACCTCACCTAAGGTACGAGATAAAGAGAACCTAGTTCTTATACCTGCATTATAATGATGGGAATGTGGGATTCTATCTTGGGAATGTGGGACTCACCATTTGTAGGCTATCCAAAGGTAAAGAAGATGTTCAAAAGATCCCAGACCTCTGCAAATGTCCTATGTGCACTACAATGTCCTTCTGACAATCAGAACCCTCTACTGCCTGTAATGGGCTGGTGACTTTGCAAATGTATAGCTGTGCTGGGAAAGAAGGGATCATCCTAGAAGTGAAAGAACCAAAAGAGCAGGAAACCAGTGAGTTACCATTTTACCACCTGTGTATAAGGCAGCACAGGTATTTTCATCTAACGCTCGTTGAGCCCTGACTCCTGTCCCATGGGCTATGCTAAGGAATTAGGGTTAAATAATACACACACACATACAGTGCAATCTAGGAAGTTTAAATCCAAGAAAAAAAAATAAGTATTTGTTGATTTAATTTTAAATAGCCAATACATGTCAACAAAAAACTTTTATGAAAATGTGTTTTCAAATAAAGAGAATAGTGGGTGTCATGGCTTTACATTTTTTGCACCAACAGAAGATAGTTGGATTCTTGTATTTGCTGCTGCATTCAGGTCTTTATAGTATCACATCTCATGATTTCTGGAAAACACTGTACACTTAAGAAAGTGGAAAAAAAAGAAGTCTTTGTATTCTTATGAACATAGTTTTGACATCACAGGTTTCAGGGGATATTATGTGTCCTTGGATTATACTTTGAGAACTGCCAATCTAACAAAAATTCTAACTATAGTGGGAGGATGGAGGAAAGGGGTTTTAAATTGAAATGTACAAAGTATAAAAAAATGGACAAATTCATTAAAAAACAGCAAACTTGTCTCAAACCAAGGGGAAGTCAATAGATAAAGCCTAAGCTGAAAAACTGCTAGAATATGCATACTATTTAATATGCCCATGTAAATCTTAAAAAACAGTTAATATCTGAAAGTGGTAAACTTGCGGAACAAAAATAAGAAACAGGAAGGCTAAGGTGTTTGTTTTAACAAAATTTGTGAACTATTTGACTCTCAAAGTAATGTGTACTTAGAAACTACATATAATTTGGTAAAATTTCTTTTCAAGAATCTGAAAGCTTGAACAAGCCATAAATGTACACATACACCCAAAATTAGAAAAAGATGCCAAAAAATTATTCTCCCCAGAAAAGACATAAATACTAATAGTTCTAATATTTTTATAGGAAATATCTATCAAATGCTATGGAAATGCTAATTCCTAATTATTCAGTTTCCTAATTCCTAATTATTCAGTTTCCTATGATGGAATAGTGAAATAGTTACTACATGCCAACCAATGCAATTAAATACTGATCAACCTTCCTCAATGAATAAAAATGAGCTATGCATAATGAAAAACAGTCTACTGCTGTGTATGTGCTAACTGTTAAAGAAAAGAATATCTTAAAAAAATTATTTATTTTGTATTTATACATACAACAGAGGTGCTGGGAAGAGGGCGAGAGAATTCACCAGAGACAGAATGGGGAGCAGAGGACAGGGTAGGTCTGCTGCACCTGTGGGTCAGCTCCCTGGCTAGGGATTGAACTCATGCTGCAGTGGCTTCATAGTGCTACACTTTAACTCACTGTACCACCAGGGAGGGCCCAGCTCTGACTTTTAAGAGAGACTGTTTAATATCTAAATAACACAGGCATAACTCAGTTGAACATGAGTTAAACAAAATGAGAAATTCAGTTGATGCACTAATGTGATTTTTAATATACATTTTGGTCACCCCTAAGTCACTATTCCGAGAATGAGCTGGAAATAGCAACATATTACTATGACGCATAAAAGTGATGACAAGTAGGAAGAAGGCTTGGATTCACAGTCTTAGGCAGGGATTCCCAGAAGCAGACCATGAGAGGATTCAAGTGTTGGTGCTTTATCAACGCGGTGCTCTGAGGAGAAACTGGGAGTAGGTACTGAGAGGGAAGCAACAGCAATCAATCAAAGGTACAATCTGGGGCAAAATTTCAGCTTTAGCCTGCACACTGCCTGTGTGCCAGGCAAAACTGCCACTTTCCGAAAGTATCTTACTATTCCAAGAACTCTTAACATTCACTAACCTAGATAAAACTCTAGCAGAAAAATAACCAAACAGAACTTTTCCTCTGCTTGTACAGATAAAATAGAAATAAGAGAAAACTTGGCAAGGTCAGATTCAAATAGGCTGGGGTTTTGATGAAACTACAATCTTGGAGGCCTAGAACATTCCTCCATTGTTCTGATTTCACCAACTATAGTTAGGTGATAAGAGGGAAAGGTTTGGATTACATGGGCACACAGGTGTCCACGGTTAAGTTTAGAAATCAAATCTGTCAGCACAACTAATTCCATAATCTCTCTGGGCCTGCTTTCTCAGGGTTCAGTCAGAAAGTAGATAAAGTAAGTCTATAAACAACGGAATCCATCAATGATAAAAGTCAGTACAACTGGGGAAGTCAAAATAATGCCTGAACACTTACCATCTCACCATATCCTTTAACTCCCCTTGTTTTCCACTTCAAAATTTCTGGTGATTAAGTGACCTAAAACTTTCTAACTCTGTACACAAAAAAGTATTAATGCCCTATATATTCCCAGTGCAAACATAAAATGCTTTTTCTACTAAAAAAGTTTGCTCAAGGCAAGGACTATTATTTCCTCTCTAAGTGCCTAATACACAGCACAGTGAATTTTTTTTGAATGAACTTTGTGTAGGATGAACTTGAACACCATAACCAACAGCTTTTTTTTTTTTTTTTTAAGATTTCTTTATGCATACAGAACTGGGGTACAGGCCAGAGGTACATCGGTGATGAGAGGCTTCACCAGAGAAGAAGGGGGGAGCAGAACAGGTAGATCAATGAATTACACTGCTGAGGGGAACAGCAGGCTGGTCAGGAGAGATCTGCCGCACCATGTGGGTCACCTCCAGGGCGGGGATCGAACTCATGCTGAAGTGGCTTTAGCTTCTTAGTGCTGTGCTTTATCCCTCTGCACCACCCAACAGCTATTTTTCTAAGATTCTCATCTCTAAAATCAGCCAAACCAGAGGCAAAAAATCTCAGAATATCCCAAATAAAGATCAAAGTCTGTAGAAAAGATTTCCTCACAGAAAATCCCTCAAACCTTCATGGTGATTTTTACCACCAAAAAAATTTAAGTTTTTAGTTTCCAAACTGATGATGAGCAGCAGCAATCCAGAAAGAGTAGTAGGTGATGCAACAGGAGACAGCTGACCTAGGGGAGAAAAGAGGGTGAGTGGCTGTGTAGCCCTAGAACTCACACAGGCCCCTGATGAAGCTTGTAGTTTTTGGTATACAAATTCAATCACCCAATGTTTTGAAGTGCTTACTTCATTCAAGGTTGTATGCTGTGGAACTGAGCTTTGTATGAATGAAATGAGCTTGTATTTCAAGGAAACAATTTACAGTATTGTTAGCTCTGACAAAATTAGAGCTTTCAGGTGAAAACTATAAAGTTTTGGAAAATTTGCATCTGTCATTGTCAATCTGACAGTTTTCCAATCCTCAAAAAAAAAAAAAAATCTCATTTGTGATGAGATCATTGGTAATACTAATGAAATATGACTTTAAACAATTTTTTTGTTCATTTATCTAGTAATGTGGTATTAATAAAGCATTCAACACAAGAACTTAATGAAAAGCTATGGTTATTTAAAATGCTAACCACTCTTAACATGCCCTTGTGGTAATTACATAAAGTCTGTTATTCCAGGTTTCTGGCAAATTTACTGGAGAATATAGATAGGACTGCTCCTTTTTAGTAACAGATTCCATTATTTCAGTGGATAACTGTGGGATAGTTAACATAACAGCTAATGCAGCTGGAAAAAGTTTGTGCTTGACCAGATTAATCACTGACCAACTTTGGATGTTAGACAAGTTAATCATTTAAGACTGAGTTATCCCATCTTAAAAAAAATAACAGATATAATCTGTGCTTGCAGGTGAGATGATAGAATTCAAGATAAAGATACTATGCATACTGGAATGTGGCATTGTGCTATTTAATATATATTACCTTTTACTTCGTGCAATTAATTTATTAAGATTCTCAACTCAGGCCCTAACTGGTGGCACAGTGGGTTAAAGCACTGCACTAAGAAGCTTCGATCTCCACCTGCCCCAGAGGTGACCCAATGGCATGGAAGACCTCTCCTGACCCACCTCAGCAGTGTATTTCGACAGTCTGCCTGTTCTGCTCCCCACTCTGTCTCTGGTGAATTCTCTCACCTCCCCTGCACCTCTGGCCTATACCCCAGTTCTGTATGCACAAATAAATAAATCTTAAAAAAAAAAAAAAAAGATTCTCAATTCAATATAAATATGAAAATGGTTTGGACCAAGGACAACATCAATAGTAGCAAGTCATAATAACTGTATACACATCATATGCAGATTTGATAAAAAAAGGCATTTTACTTCTTTGGTTAAAAAAAATAATAATAACCCCATAAAAACCCATAGCAACTCTGTCGAATTATCAGAAAAACATCACCCCCCCCCCAAGAGAGGGGCATTCTACAAAAGATTTGACCAGTATTTCTAAAACTCAGTACCGGAACATAATGAAAGCTGTCATAAGACAACAAATGCCTAAAGGAGAAAAGTACCCTAGGTGAGACCCTAAAACAGAAAAAGGACAAGCTGTGAAAACCAAGAAAGCCTTAATAAACAATGGATTTTAGTTAACAATAATGTATTGGTAATGGTTCATTAGTTACAAAATACTAATGTTATTAATAATAAGGAAACTAGGAATGGGTATACGACAACTCTACTATCTTTATAATCTTTGAATAAATCAAAATCTTTGCAAAAAATAAAGGTCTTTCTAAAATGCCACTCTTTTCACTACCTATTTGTTTTGGAAAGGTTATTTTCATAAAATATGTCACTTATATTAACATGAACGCTTACATTTTTCTGAATTTTAATTTCTAATTTGTTAAATACTATAACTCATAAAGTTATCAATAATTTTTAGATGTGTGAAGAAATATTTATCATATTAGTAGTGTTCAACAAGTAACCTGCTAAGTTGCTTTTGACCTACTCAAAATAAAGAATGCAATGTATGTTAGTAAATGTGTTTAGATTTTTATACATACTGTAGGTTCCTCTCACAAATGAACCCGAAAATACTGTATTTTCTCCTCCCTATCCTACCTCAAATCCAATAGACTAAAACTGTAATGAGAGGATTAAAAAATTAAGGGTGGATTTGAAATTACAGCTGACAAAGATGTACTGAAAAATCAATTATGCCAAATTAACAGTATCATGTACAGAAGGGGAAAAGGCGACTCACCCTAATCTTTTTAAACTTATTACGTTGGAAATAATACACTGTTGTTATCAAGTACACAGTAACAGCTGAACATGTAAAATTTCCAAAATGCAGACTCATTGCTAATTTCCATTTTTTAAGTGTAAAATATCACTTCCAATGGGATTCCTTGCAATAACAAACTTTCTTCAGGGCACAAAACCAAATTTGGAAAATGAAGTGGTTACAATTACAGTAAATTAATTGAGTACACTTAGTCTTAATTGTATTGAATTTCATTAAATCTAAGGTGCCAGTGACTATGAAATGCAACATTATAACATTAGGAAGAAAAAAGTTGCCAATTAAGCTATGCATAATGCTTATTTATGGCATCCTGTCTTCCAGGTTAAAATGTGAACTATATGTGGGTTACAACCAAGAAAATATGGAGACCTTAGACATACAATTAAAATGTTAGAAAATTATCTATTGATAATCTTGGAAGCTAAAAAAGTAATTTATCTATGCCTACTATGTTATATAATAAAGTCAGTATTCAAACAGAAATCCTAATCTATCTTAACTGCCAAAGGTAACTCAATGCTTTTAGCAAATATATGTATAATCAATGAAATGAAACGCACCTCCCAAAACAGGATCTGGAGATTAAAAGCCACTATTCAGTAACAAAATGATGAAAACAACTGTAAAGAGCAAGAGTTGACTCAGAAGCAGTTGGTCTGTTAGCATATGTAAAGTTACTTCAAGCTTAGACAAAAGGTACAGGGTGGTGTTAGATTTCATTCCACCTGCTACATTAAGGAAAAGTAGTAGCTCTACTGAACAGCTTCCATATCTGAGTAGTGGAAAAGTGAAATTCTATACTTAAAACTGACAAAAGAAAAGTGTTTACAACAGATTTATATTAAGAAATAAAAGTTAAATGTTATATTATTTTCTTATATTAAGAAATAAAAGTTAACAGCCAATTGATACCTTGGGGTTTTCTTTTTCCTTTCCAAGGAGAAACTGAGGCAAGGTTCTACATCAACCACCTTTGTCAGATTTCATTGTACATATAATATGTTGAAGTCTTGGGCCCAAGGAGTTAAGTCTCACCACTATAGAGCTATGGGCAGCACCAGTTTGATCCTGGCCACCTGGCCCAGCAGACCCCTGTCTCACACCCTACATCCCTCAGCAGTGTAATTCAGTGGATCTGCCTGTTCTGCTCCCCACTGTCTTTAGTAAATCTTCTCACCACTAACCACACACCCACCCCACACACCTCTGGTCTGCAACCCAGCTCGCGTGCTTAAGTAAGCCTTAAAAAAAAAAAAGGAAAAGGGCCCTCTCTGGTGGCACAGCGGGTTACAGCACAGCACTAAGAAGCTAAAGCCACTTCAGCATGCGTTTGATCCCTCCCCTGGAGGTGACCCACATGGTGCAGCAGACCTCTCCTGACCTACCGCAGCTCTTCTCAGCAGTGTACTTTGCCTGTTCTGCTCTGGTGAATCCTTGCATCGCCCCTGCACCTCTGGCCTGTACCCCAGTTCTGTATGCATAAATAAATCTTTTTTAAAAAAAGTGTAAGTATCTTAAATACTATCATAAAGTCTTTAAGTGCTTGTATCTAAGCGAGATTTTAAAATAAACTGTACTGACCTCTAAACTTAGGAAAACATCCCACTATGTTTTTCTTACAAATCCCAATTTTCAGAATTTTTCAAGAGACACCTCAAAACCAGAAAACAGTCTGCTATACCTCCAGCTAACTATACTGCCTGACACAACTAATAGGAGAAAAAAGGCAAATCAGAAAACAAGCTGATTTCAGGACTCTTAAAAGTTCTGGCTCATTTATTCAGCAAAACTCAAGGGCCCAGAACAGATCCCCAACCAGTTAGTCTTACCTGGCAGGTCACCAAGTTGGCCGTGGTGGCCAGACCTGTCTTCCCTAATTTACAGTAATTTCCAGAGGGAGTGAAAGCAATAGCGGAAAGTTCTCCTTTGTTTTAGAGTTTTTCTTAATCTCTCTCTTCTCCTCTTCTGGCTTCTTCCCCCACCTTCTCCTACTCTTTGAGTTTACAGCCAACTGTCTCCACCACAGAAATAGCCAAGACTTTACCAAATGAAAAGGAAGTTCAGAAAATAAGGTGCCCAGCCCACCCTTTTGAAATAATCTAAGGCACAAGAGCCCACACCAGGACAGCAAATCACCAGTGGACACAGGCACAGCATTCTCGTCAGCCTTTAAAGAAAGCTATTAACAGACTTTGGAAAAGTTTCAATTCTTGCAGATGAAGCGTTTCTTCTATACATTCAAATCAACCA